ACCTGCAGCAGCGACTGCGTGCACAGCAGCGGAAGCAGCAGCAACTACAGCAACACCAGCAGTAGCACAAATAGCCGCAGCAACAGCAGCAACCATAGCAGCAGCAGCAGCAGCAGACGCACGTCTCTACAGGGCCTGCTGTGGGCTTCTGCTGCTTGCCGCTGCTGCAGCACAGACGTGAGCCACAGCAGCGCGAGGAAGGAGACCCAGAAGGCACTGCAGCAGCAGCAGCAGCAGCAACAGACACGCAAAAGGCCCGAACCCTAAGCCCTAAATCCTAAACCCTAAACCCTAAACCCTGAAACCTGATGAATGCCAGCAGCAAGTCAAAACCCTAGAAGGTCAGCTCACGCCCTGTGTGGGGTTAGGCCTTCTATGGGTGCTGCAGCAACAGAGCGCGGCAAAAGCAGCAGCTGCTGCAGCCGCTGCTGCAGCACGTGCAGTACAGCAGCAGCTGGCGCTGCAACAACGACCTTCTCTTGCTGCTCATGCAGCAGCGACTCCAGCAGAAGCAGCAGATGCTGCGACAGCACTGCTACTGCTGCTGACAGCAGCAGCAGCAGCCACGCTGCTGCAGTAACCGTCAGGGAGACAATTAGCTGCACCAGGCCCTGCAGCGCAGCAACAGCAGCAGCAGCGCAGCCGCAGCAGCAGCAGCAGTCATGAGCTGATCGCAGCGCCATTGTTTAGCTCAGCAGAGAACCGAAGCAAATAAGACGACCCGCAGCCCCCATTAGACTTGCTTTACCTTGAAAAGGCCGCTGCAGCAGCAACAGCAGCAGCAGCAACAGCAGCAGCAGCAGCTTACTGATGCAATATGAAGTGATAGAACGGCTGGCGGAGAAGGGCGGCACAGCAGCAGCACGTGCTGCTGCTTCGAAGCAAACCGGTAAGTGCAGCAGAAGCTGCGCATGCAGCAGACGCAGCACAGAGGCGGGCTTGTTGTTGCTGCTGTTGCTGCTGTTGCTGCTGCTGCTGTTCCCTCGCACAAACCCAACACCCCAGCAGCAGCAGCAACAGTAGCAGCAGCAGCAGCAATGCTTGAGGGGCTCAGCGTACGCGTGGCAAGTGGCCAGCAGCAAGGCTGAGAGAGGTAGAGAGGCCCTGCATTCTGCTGCTACAGCTGCTGCTGCTGTTGCTGCTGCTGCTGCAGCAAACCAAGCGCTGAGCAGCAGCTGCAGCAGCGGGTCCAGGGGCAGCCGAACCCGCGGCAGCACAAAAGCTGCACAGACACCCGAGTTGCTGTGGCTGAGTCCAGCAGCAGGATAAACATGGCTTAGGGCTGGCTGCTGCTGATTTTGCTGCTGCTGCAGCTGCTGCTGCCTCTGCAGC